AGAGACTTGTTGTATTCTCTTCCAGTCGGCATACGTCGGCGGCCATTTCAAATTTCCAGGCATTAATTATCGACGCAATATCCAGGTTGGAAAATTTCTTTGTCACACGAAGGCTTGCCTACTGCTAGTAACGTTTAAGAGATATGCTACCAGTGATCTTCAAAGATGTTGGGTGGAGCTTTATTGTCCCGGATGCGAGCAGAATTTGATAGTCATTTAGAACGATTCGCTTCGCCGGCTGCATGGAGTCAATGTACTCACAGCGACGTTGCGAAAGTCCGCCGAAAGGAACTTGAAGTTTGGCAAGCACAGGAGCTTCATCGGAGTCCACTCACGTGCACCAACTTGAGGGACATTTTTGACACAAACTCTTCAATGGTAACTGGTTGCATTTGGTCCATCGCTGGTCCGGGGCTGGTAGGCACTAAGTCACTCTTCTGCAGGTGCTGTGTCGAAAGTTAGTGCTCACGAGCAAGGGGCGAGCATCTACACTCAGATGTACCAACCGTTCTTCTTTATCATTAAGAGAGCCTACACTATCATTGATAAACTTTATATAGGTAAGGTAGTTGTGTGGAATCCCTCAGCTACTGAGCCGCAATAAACAGAAGAAAAATAATGGGAAAAATGCAATAGGTGCAAGCCAGCTGAGCCACCGGTAACGGATGGCCATCATTCCGGTAAGCTAACTGTCAGCTGCTAATCAGCAAAAAATTTACTTTGCAAGATACTCTAGAGCTAAATAGTGAGATCGTGGTTGGTAAGGGAGCCTAAGAGAAAAGGGGATTAACAAAGAAATTTAGAGCAGCTACGCGACTTAGGTCGGTTCCTAGTCCTATCAGCTAGTATATCCAGCCAAACGTGTACATTGTCTTTGGGACCCCAATCAGGGAACCGAGACGCTTCAACCGAGGCCAGTTTCAAAGTGATGGCCTTTATTCCTCTCGACTAAGTCATCGCTTGGCCACCTCTCCTCTTGTTCCATCCGCACCCCGAGTGGGCAAACAATGAACCTCGCGGAAGCCGGCGGGCTGGCATGCGTAACACGTGGCCGGGCCATCGGAGCCTAGTGCGTGAAATAACGGGGCTCAATGGTTCATATCCTTTTACTGTACCAAACACAAGACTCCGAACAAGCACATTGCTTACTCAGTATTCCCACCAGATGTGAGCTAAACCGCTAAGGCACCGATGGTCAAACGCAAGTGGCCTCTATATGTCCGCTAATCTAAGGGGCAGGTTTCACAACCGTACAGTATGGTCTTACGTATCTCTGCGTTGCACAATCTGCCTTCAGGGCGAGAGTGACTTGGTGCCGGCCCCGTAGGTGGCGATGACTATCAAAAGCAATTCCGGCTTTTGCTATACTGCTCGTGATGTCATCTGAAATCCCACGGGTACAGATACAGCTACCCAGGTAGTTACATTTTTGTACGACTTCTAGCTGATCCCTACCAAGGGTCAGCGTAGGAGGCGAGCCAGGCCAATCTTAGTGGAACGCTTTGCAATGCAAGGGTGATAAGCAAAGTTCGAAGTGACAGAGAGCCAGTGCTAATCTGTTCAGTTCAGCTTGGCAGGTTTATGTGCTATCACATATTAGGGCAATAATGTCAACATACTCTAAGACAAGAAGTGGTTCTCCAGGGAGCAGATCCACATATTCTAAGTCATGTAATGTAAATGCGATTTTCATGGCTTCGACGATAGTGAAGTTAAAGAGAAAGGGCGACAGCAGGCATGCTTGTCTCACACCGCTTACTAAATTAATGTGCGAAGAAAGCTTGCCGAAAGCATTCACTCTGCCTAATATACGCGCGTATAATTCATGGAGAATATGTACCTATTTCTCAGGTACGTATTTTATAATTAGGTGGTCCCAAAGTGCGTGTCTATCCACGGAATCGAATGCAGCTTTGATATAGAGGAACATGCCAGCGATGGGCTGTTAGTATATGTGACGGTGTTCCAACAACTGACGCAATGTGAAGATGTGATCAATGCAGCCACGAGTCGAGGAAACCCGGCATGATCATCACGAATATGGTCCGTGTCCTCGCATATGCTACAAATCGAGCGACAGTTTGGACCTAGCCCCTCCAGCAATAATGTATCGCCGAGTGTTCGATTTGCGTCCATTGTCGGTTCGAGGCTGCTGGGCGCCAAGTCACCCACCCACGGGTGCTGTGTCTAAAATTAGTGCTCGCAAGAAATATGCCAGCGTCTTCCCACCAATGAAGTTACCGTGCACCGTTATCCTTACGTGAGCATACACCATGTTCACCGCCCAGATGCACTTCACCAGTGGATATTTTTCCAACTTGAGAGTTCAGATCCCCAGCCAGGACAACAGTGTCCGAGCTTCTGCTGTGGAGAAGTATGTCGTTCAACTGGCGGTAGAAGTCGTCTTTTACCGAATCATTGCTGCACATTGTGGGTGCATATACAACAATGAAGATTAGACACCTATTAGTCCCGCGCGACTTTGAAGCTTTGAAGGAGCCAGCCAATCGGACCGCACACCTCCGGCTACTGATTTGAATCCAATCAAACAGAACAGCATTAGCCCGGGGACTCCAGGCAATATAAAACTAGCGTGACCGGTATTTAAGCGTGTATCGTCACCGGAACGGCGCAATGGGAAGATTTTTTCGATATCATCTGAAGTGGATAGTAAAGTGAGAAAAGAGCTCGCGTTTTGCAGGCGGGACTTCAGTAAGCAGCAAATATCCATCGAGAGGGTCTTTATTGTCCAGGCAAGTGCTGTCTTTTGACCGAGTTTTAGCATTTTGCGTACGTCGAGGCATGTCAATCCGAAGGATGATCGAGGACTCCAAATGGAAGCCAATGAATTGGGTTTGCTTAGACATAAGCTTGTCGACAGGGCTGAATGACGCTTCGCGTTCACATGTGGGTTGCAACTAAAAGGCAACGCCTATCAAAACCAGGTGCGGGAGAGCCAATGTTTGAGGGGATTAAAACATAGGGAATAAAGATGAAGCTAGAAAGGGACTGTAAGAGCAAAAAAGCATAAGCGGAGGATTAAGAAGATGGGTGGGCTTGTGCAGTAGCATACAAACCTTTATCCACCCTGCTGGATGCAGCAGAGGGGGCACCGTTGATTACCGTCCGCGCTAAACAGTGCATCCAGAAATCGTTTGACAAAAGATTCGCAGTACTGCGTGTGTAGGATAATGCTAAATTGCCCAGGCCTAGACTAGAGAACGATAGGGTTCTCAACCAAAGCCTTTGGTTCAAAATCCAGGCCGCAACGCAGCGGTGTTTTGGCATTTGGCTACCTTGCCTCCATCTATCGTAATAAGGAGCCATCCTTCTTTTATCCTCCAACAAAGAACACAAGGAGGTTGAGTTTGTCTGGCCTCTAACCATTTACCAATTTGGTATGAGTTGCTCTGAAAGTACAAAAGGCACCAGTCACCTTAGCTCAAGGGATCTCTGAAGCACGCAAAACACCGCACCACGGTAACGTCCAGCCTCATTGCGATGGCGGCCTAAGCCATGCCTCCCAGACGAAGCTCATCAGTGGACAATTTTCGGACTTCGACGTTCAGATCACCAGCCAACACCACGGTGTTCGTGCTTCGTCTGTAACGAAAGACAATGTTAAGTTGGTGACAGAAGTGATCCTACGCGGAATCAGTGCTACGGTTTGTAAGGGCTTAGGCCGTAGTAACAAACAGGCATTGTATGCACCCTGCGAATTTGAAGGCCGGAAGGAACCAGCAAATCTAATGGCACACAAACGGTTGTTGACTGTATCCAGTCGGTCAGGGCATCTTCAGCCCGGGGACTCAAAACAAAGCCAACAAAAGCTTGACCTGCAATTGAAGCCGCGTCATTGCTAGTGAAGTGCAAAGAAAATGTGCCGCCAGTGTTCCATGTGGAGGATTGCATGTTGAGCGCGGAGCTACAATCTTGCAAAAAGTTTCCGATAAAAAGCCACTCTCGATCGATGGGTCTTCGGGTGCTTGGGCAATCGCCACCTGTTTACCAACTTGTAACTGAGTGTGCCATTTGACGCATGATATCCTTAGCAAGGATCGGGAACCCCAGTGGGATACGAATGAACTGACGTTGTCTGCTTGGTCAGCAATGTAATTGCCAACTGGACTGGAGGGATTTGCTACGAACGTGTGTGACAGGAATCTAGAAGACAAGCGGCAATGGATACAACTGTAGGTGAACCAAGAATTGGACTCGGTTCCTCAGCACAAAGAAAAAGGTTTAAAATGGTTATAACCAGAATACCAAAAATTACACGTCCAATTTTGTACCTGAGGTAGAATTAGACAAAAACAGGTTGTCATATTGACTACATGTGATTACCTCAACAGTAAGTGCACTGACAAATCTGTCGACTTAGTATTACCCATGAGACTTGAATCACATAAAAATAAGTTGCGAAATACCGCGCAGATGGAATTTGCTAAAAACTGAATGTTTTAATACGTTCAACGACTCCATGTTGTTCAACACTTAATACTATACCATGCTAGCAATTGTATGCAACTCATCTGGAAAATTTATTGTATGAATAGAATTAATTTGATGTACCAAGGCTGCCAAAATTTACTTAGAAAATCTCTGGGTGAAATTCACTGAAAATAGACTTAGATAATATATTGTCCTTCACAAAGAAAGGTATAATGGAAGGTTTGATTCCAAACCTAATTGTCTCTGTAGACTATATTAAAAATAATACGTTTTTGCGATGTTGGTATCATGAGTGTTGTGTATCATACTGGAATAAGCAGACTAGTTTGTAAATGAGAAAAGCGGTCGCATAAGAAATTATCAATTTACTCTTCAATTTTAATAGATGTTATCTGTACTAAGCTGATGATAGTATATTCACCCATAGAAAACTAAGTGGTTGTCTCGTTTATTAAAGCTACCAACAAATTATATTTAAACTAATATATTTTTGGACGCAATTTATTCGAATGTATGTTCAATACATTATATCGTGTGTGCTTACTTACAGCATCCAGAACAAGTTAATGCACGTATCATTGCGCTGATTTGCTCTTTGAACCGAATGGGATTCGCGATTACTTGATAGGTTGTATTGCTCGACGATATTGCATTTTTTAAGAAAAATATATACTTTGAATTCTTGTAAAACACGTCCAGACAGCCAGTCTTGTCAGCGCTCTTGTCACTCGTAATGAACAACTCTCCGACTTGAATGTAGTCCATCAACGCCGTGGAATTTTTATAGTAATCCGTAACCAAAATAATTACGTTGAATGAACCTTTGCTAAATGTTTGACGAAATGCATCCATACTCAGTGAATGTGATCCTATTCTTTCACGCAGGCGTCCCGCAACAACTATTTCGCTGCGTTTAACCAGTTGTGAGAGGTTGTCAGGGTATTGCGGGCAGTTCTGTTTTGATGGTTCGTTAAATGTTGTGTTTTGTCGTAAGATGCCCATTGAAACATAAGATAAAATGATACAGGTCACAAACAGGCCGAATCGAAGGCGCATTTCCACTGACCTAACGACTGAAAAGTAAGGCAGATGAGAATTCGAAGGTTGCTATATATTAGATAATTCGTGACTCACTTTTGGAATGTTGGTATCGCCCCTCATTTGTGGTATTTGTGTTGTGAATTAACCAATTAGCTGTGAGCACGCTGATGCCTACGGGTGTCGAAATACATTCGCAAATTCCGTTGAGATGATTTAAATGATCACTCAGTTAAATGATAGGTTGCACTAAGTGCATGTCATGATCACATGACTGCACACGTGCTCTATGCATATTCTTAAATTGTTACTTGTCTCAGCCCGTATCCAAACAGGTCGGTTAAAAATAGATAACACATTGATCAGTACGCTTTGGAGGTTATGCTCCGCTGATGCGTCAGAATTTATGAAGAGGCGTTAAATTTGTTTAACCCACCTACTAATGAAAAAATGTATTCGATTGCGATCCAAATATAGACAGAACGCCAAGAGTAGTGCGTTTCTGTCAACAACAGAGAATAACATAAATTCATAAGCAATGTTTGTTAACTTCATGTTTTAGCATTCATGTTAAATGAGTCGAGCATTATATTTAGGGAACAATGAAACATTTATTATATACAGGCAAAATGCTGAAAGTAAATCTGTCCTGAGTGAGGATTACGTCGAAAATTAAAAGGTAGAAAAACTGTCACCAAATTTATATTCTCACCGGTGATTTCACCGCGGTATTTGTAGTATAAAATGTAAATTCACTGTAATTTAATTTAGCTCCGAGTACGCACTAGTGCATCCGTTTACACAGGCATATGATTTCGTTTATACCAATTTTGAGGGAGCTAGTGAGATTTTCTGCCTCCTGTTGTCACTAAGTGAACGGACATCAAATCAGATAATGCACTGCATCGTTGATTTGTTTTTAAGTGGTTAGCGTGGGCGCAGAATTGAGAAAAGTCGAAAGAGCTTTCCAAGGTAACAAATTCGAAGAGAAAAATAATTCTGACGACGTTCCACACGACTGTATTTCGTAGCCAGCTTTAGCTTCTGCCCACTCAAATTTGTGCTGCGGCTAGGTTTCAGGACGTGCCTGCTAGCATGACCGAGGGTTTTCAAGATCGGGTACATCGAAATGTGGTCGTCCCGTGCGTGGCGATAAATTCCGCCGTACACTTCTAATTTTTTAGTCGCAGATTGTACAGCAGTTGCAGCAATCACTTCACATTTTTGGTTGACCTTGGCTGTGGGGCATCCAGAGCAACCAGGTCGCGTTTTAACCAGGGTTTTAAAGTTTGAATCGCGTACTCCACTTTGCCCTCACATACCTATTGGCCACTTCGGGTACGTTGAAGTGGTCGAAACTCCCGGATGCCCAAGTTAAGAGATATACATATTGATTAGTAGTTTGGAACGAAGACACCGTCATATCCCCAGGATCGCGCTCCTGATAGGTGGTTTTCAGCATGTGGTCTTCAAGCTTACATGCGTAAGTGGGTTTGTGACGTACATGTATAGTATTTCACTTGTCCAGTTTAAACGGAGGTACATTTACCTCTGACCATACAAAGTTACTGTCTATGGCTCATTGCAATACGTCGCGATTGTCCAGACAACCGATCGCCTAACTTAAATCGATGTCCTCGGAAAATACAGGAGTTTGAATCGATCAGAAGTGCGCGACCGCTATTGAAGACCATGCAAAGGCGGGGTTGCAACCCCGATCTCCGTGGGACTCTGCAGTCCATGTTAATGGAACGATATATTAGTTATCGACGTAGGTTTTACAAAAGTTTGAACGATACACTGCTTGCTGATTCAAATATTTCCATGTTCCTTAAGTGAAATTCACGGAAAGAAAGTTTGGACCTTTTGGTAAATTTTTGTCAAGCAGTCGTCAATGGGCGACAAGCTATGGTGTTTCCCTAAATCTTTTCCTCGAACGATTTGAGGGATTTGTCAGAAAAAAATTTTATGTTTATATTTCGTTAGTTTTTTCAAAAATAAGCCTTACGCATCAGGGGATTTAAGTAAAAAAATGAAAAGTCTAGCAGCTTTATCCATATTAAGGCAATGGGAGTTCCACGATTCTTTTCTGCCGCTTCAAAAGCTATGGGGTTTTATAAATCCAAATACAACGAGCTGAAACCTTGTTGTTATAATACTTTAATTATGTTTAGTCATAGCAAATAGTGAAAGCAACTAGAACTTAAACATACGCTATTACTCCTCAAAACCATTTGGAAATCCCAGCAAGATAGTAGGGGTGGTGTGTAAAGTGCTGCTGATAATTCTGGATTTTCATAAACGAAGTGACGAGGAAAATTACTTTCTATTTCCTACTCTTTGCGGATGATATCATCTTATCGATTGCCATCAAAGACTCGAAAGATAAGGAGAAGCTCAAACGTAACCTAGACACCATTTCAAACTAGTAATTCTTAATACCCAGGCGTTCAATGTGGAAAATTTCATGCTGTTTAACTGCGCCATATTCATGACTACATGTATAGGCATGGGTCATATTTATTGCGAAAAACCTTCCTACGAATGCGACGTTTGTTGTTCATTTAAAATCACATTCACTGTCCAAACAGTCAGAGGCAACTGCGAAGATAGTAAACCAGCACTTCGGCTTGCTGCTAAGAGCATTCGGGAGATTCGACCTACCTATCTTCCCCATGTTGCGCTATTCTTACATGTACCATCACGTTGAATACGCCATCCAAGCTTGGCATGCTTGGTTGAAGCGTGACTTAGAAATACTAGAAAAACGCCAACGCAGGGCGACAAAGAACTTCAAGGGCCTACGAAATCTGTCATAACCTCAATGGCTGAAGTCACTTTGAGTTTTCAGCGGCCGTTACTTAATCACGTAAGCCTTCACTTGCTGACACTCAGCCCTAACACCAATCTCAGAAGTCACCCTCAGAATTTGTGTGCTCAGTTTAGCCGCCTGGAATGCCGGTTGAATTATTTTTCTTTTCGGCTTTGCCAGCTCTGCAACTCTCTCCAAAACTTCGTTGTTTCCTCCCCCATATTGGATATCTTCAAAAAATGATTGGATCATAACCTTGGCCCCCAACACTTCGTTGCCTCAACTGTGCAACTTTGGGACATATTACTTATCCATCCGAACCAGCTTAGCATGTTGCGTAAAGTTGAGGATGCGGGACAGAATTCAGTACAGTGTGTTTACTTTTCACAAGTAATACATCAAGCGTAACAGTCCCTACGTTGCAACATCATTCACATGCAATTCCCACGTATACTGCTATTATTCAGCTGCTTATCTGCTAGCTAAACTCTCAAACAGATAACCCACCTATCTTTTGATAAATGTAGTTTTACCCTCATCATCCTGCGGAGTTGTCAAACAACCGCATATTTACTCAATCTAAATCATTGTTCATTGTTCATGTACATTTTTTAGAATATAATTGCTCCTTTGCCCTTACCTGGTATACGTGCAGAATTATTGCGTGTTGCAAAATTTTCAAAGCGATTTTGTTTGCAAATATATCCATCCTGTTTTACTAGAATTACATTTCCACCTGAGAATCAAGATTTGCAGTTTATTGAATTGTTCACCTTGTACTAGGCGTAGATTTCTGAGTGTTGCTAGTAGAATCCCAGCGTTGCAACGTATGTTAAATACTTGGGGCATTTCACGCATGTTTTTAAACTGTGATTGAGCCAGATAACATCAAGAGAGTTTTCGTGCAGTCTAATTGTACACCTCACTACTCGTGTTTTCATTTTCAGCACGTGAAGCAATTCTGTATGGCGAGTATCCAATCTTATCAAGTACTGCAATCAATGTTTCATCCAATGAAAAACAATGTTGAGGAATTTTCATCAGTTTCACTGCTGCACACTTGCAATATATTTAATTTTAGTATCCATTTTTGTTGCACATATACAGTAATAGCTTAAACTAGGCTTATATGAGAGCATATGAAAACAGAAGTTTGAAAGTTAATCTGGCTTTTACATGCGACCAATTAAGTCTATCAATTGATTTATCTTAAATGAAATTGCCTATCAGCAAAGTAAAATTAACGTTGCCTCAGTCTAGTACTCAAATTATAAACTTACGTTTAAATATGTAGTTTGCAACATAAGTAATTAGCTTTCGTATATTTGCTGTGTTGCTAAGTCATCTACTATTTAGAATGAACAGTAATAAGGTAATATATGATGAACAGCGGACATCAGTAATTCTGACCGCAGTCTTATCGCTCCAAACGTTAAATATAGCGAACAAGTGGTTACTGGGAAAAATAGTGACTGCTGAAAACAGATACAAACCTTTAAATGCGCCTCAGGATATGCAAGCTGATTTCATAAACACAAATAAATTGTTCAACGGCTGCCTTAGCATCGCGAAAAGTAGTATGTACACAAAATGCAGAGCTATGAGAAACTCGGTAATCTCCAAAGCTTTGTTTCATCAAATGTCTTGCTAACGTAGCGTTACACGCTACTTCAAAACTATTAGATCTGGTAACCAATGTCTTCTGGATACATCTACCTACTAACTTGTCCACCTTGATCCCTGTGACGAACGGGAGACGATGGAGCTGACAAAGGATTTTTCCTTCTGCTTTCTACATTCCAATGTTCCAATGTTCTAATAACTTTCAACATACTATCCTATTTCTCAACATCCCTTATGTAAATCAATCAAACAAACATTGACAAGGAAATGAACAACGGAAAGACATTGAAATTCGACTATATCATCTTACATACGACTTATGCAAGCAGACCCTCACCATCAACCAGTGTACTAAAACATCATTTTGGCGGATGTCGCA